TTGCTTTATCTATTTCTACAAGAAATGCCGTTGGGATTTTGATTGGGATTGCATTAAACCTATAGAGAACTTCTGGTAATATCGCCATTTTGATGATGTTAGTTCTGCCTATCCATGCACAGGGTATATTTTTCCATCTTTTGTGATTTTCTTCTATTTCTCTCTTTAGGGTTCTGTAGTTTTCATTGTATAATTGTGAATGGGGTGGTTGTCCTCATTTCCATTTCAGAAGATTTGTCACTGATATACAGGAATGCCTTTGGTTTATGCATATTGATTTTATATCCTGCCACTTTGCTGAATTCATTTATTAGCTCTATTAGTTTCCTTTTGGGTTTGTTAGGTATAGAATCATATCACCTGCAAATAGTGATAATTTAAGTTCTTCTTTTCCAATTTTTATGCCTGTAATTTCTTTTGTCTGACTTATTGCTCTGGCTAGTATTTCGAGATCTAAATTGAATAGAAGTTGTGAGAGAGGGCATCCCTGTCTTGTTCCAGATTTTAGAGGGAATGCCTTCATTTTTTCTCCATTTAGAATGATGCCAGCCTGAGGCTTAGCATATATAGCTTTTACGATGTTGAGGTAAGTTCCTGTTATCCCTAGTTTTTCTAGTGTTTTGAACATAAAGGGATGCTGTACTTGGTCAAATGCTTTTTCTTCATCTATCAAGATGATCGTGTGGTTCTTATCATTAAGTCTATTGATGTGGTGAATAACATTTATTGATTTCCGTATATTGAACCATCCTTGCATCCCAGGGAAGAATCCTACTTGATCATGGTGCACAATTTTTTTGATATGGTTTTGTATTCAATTCACCAGAATTTTATTGAGGATTTTTGCATCTAAGTTCATTGGAGATATTGGTCTGTAGTTTTCTTTCTTTGAAGTGTCTTTGTCTGGTTTAGGGATCAGGATGATGTTGGCCTCATAGAATGAATTTGGAAGAGCTCCTTGTTTTTCTGTTTCTTGAAATAACTTGAAAAGTGTAGGTATTAATTCTTCTTTGAAGGTTTTGTAAAACTCCGCTGTACACGCATCTGGTCCAGGGCTTTTCTTGGTTGGTAGTCTTTTGATGGCTTCTTCTATTTCTTCCTTTGTTATTGGTCTGTTTAAATTGTGTGTATCTTCCTGACTCAATCTGGGCAAATCATATGACTTAAGAAATTTATTGATATCGTCACTATCTTCTATTTTATTGGAATGTAGGGTTTCAAATAATTTCTAATTTTCTTCTGTATTTCTGTAGTGTCCATTGTGATATTGCCTTTTTTATCCTGTATGTTAGTAATTTGAGTTCTCTCTATTCTTCTCTTCGTTAGCATGGCTAAGGGTCTGTCGATCTTATTTATTTTTTCGAAGAACCAACTTTTAGTTTTATCAATTTTTTCAGTGTTTTTTGTTTGTTTGTTTCAATTTCATTGATTTCTACTCTGATTTTAATTATTTCTTGCCTTTTACTACATTTGCTGTTGTTTTGCTCTTCCTTTTCTAGGGTTTTGAGATGAAGTGTGAGCTCATTTATTTGTTGGTTTTTTCTTTTTTTGAGGAATGAACTCCAGGCAATGAATTTCCCTCTTAAAACTGCTTTTATTGTGTCCCATAGATTCTGATATGTTGTGTCTGTATTTTCATTTATCTCTAAGAATTTTTTGATTTCCTCCTTTATGTCTTCTGTAACCCATTGATCATTCAGTAACATATTGTTCATTTTCCAGGTGATGCAGGATTTTTCCTTCGTTCTTTTATCATTGATTTCCAGTTTCATTCCATTATGATCACAAAATATACATGGTATTATCTCCACATCTTTATATTTACTAAGGGTTGCCCTATGGCATAATATATATATGGTCTATCTTTGAGAAGGATCCATGTGCTGCTGAGAAGAACGTGTATCCACTTGATGATGGTTGATATATTCTTTATATGTCGATTAAGTCTAGGTTATTGATTGTGTTATTGACTTCTATCGTTTCTTTATTCAACTTTTGTCTGGAGGGTCTCTCCAATGGAGAGAGCGGTGTGTTGAAATCACCCATAATTATTGTGTTGTGGTCTATTTGACTCTTGAACTTGAGGAGAGTTTGTTTTATGAACGTTGCAGCACCATTATTTGGTGCATACATATTGACAAATGTTATGTGTTGTTGGTGAATGGTTCCTTTTAACAGTATATAGTGTCCTTCTTTATCCCTTTTGATTAACTTAGGTTTGATGTTGATTTTATTCAATATGAGTATGGCCACACCTGCTTGCTTCCGAGGACCATATGAGTGGTATGATTTTTCTCAACTTTTCACCTTCAGCCTGTGTATGTCTTTTTCTAGCATATGAGTCTCCTGAAGGCAGCATATTGTTGGATCTGTTTTTATTAATCCAGGTTACCAGCCTATGTCTCTTGGTTGGTGAGTTTAAGCCATTAACGTTTAAGGTTACTATTGATATATGGTTTGTACTTTCAGTCATGCTTATTTATTTATTTTAATTTGGCTAGTTTTTCTCATTGGTTATTTTTCCACCCTTTACTGAGTTACCTCCCACTGTTAGTTTTCGGTGCTGTTTTTCTTTCAATTCCTCTTCTTGTAGTGTTTTGCTCAAAATGCCTTGCAGTGCTGTTTTTCTGGCTGCAAATTCTTTTAATTTTTGTTTATCGTGAAATATTTTAATTTCATTGTCAAACCTGAAGCTTAATTTTGCTGGATACAGTATTCTTGGTTGGAATCCATTATTTTTTAGCATTTGAAATACGTTGTTCCAGGATATTCTCGCTTTCAACGTCTGTGATGAAAAATCAGCTGTTAACCTACTTGGTTTACCCCTGAATATAATCTGCCTCATTTCTCTCGTAGCTTTTAATATTCTCTCCTTGTTCTGTATGTTGGATATCTTCATTATTGTGTGTCTTGGAGTTGGTGTATTACCTTTTTGTATGTTTGGGGTCTTGTATGCTTCCAGGATTTGGCAGTTCATTCCATCTTTCATATCTGGAAAGTTTTCTAAGATTATTTCATTCAACAGATTGTTCATTCTTTTGGTTTGAACCTCTATATCTTCTATCCCAATAGTTTTTTTATGACATCCTATATCTCTTGGATGCCTTACTCTTGATTTCTTACCACCCTTTCTGCGTTGACTATATTCTTTTCGAGTTGATAAACTTTGTCTTCATTATCTGATGTTCTGACTTCTTTTGATCTAGTCTGTTTGTAATATTCTCGTTTGAGTTTTTAATTTGCTTTATGGTTTCCTGCATTCCTAGGATTACTGTTTGATTTTTTTTTTAATCTCTATCTCCTGGTAGAGTTCATTTTCTACTTGAATTAGCTTATGCAATTCATTTTCAAAGTATTCTTTCATTGTTTGGAGTTCCTGTCTAATGAATTCTCTAAGATTCCATTTCATCTGAGTCAGGTATGCCTTGAGTTCTTTCTCTGTCCATTTTTCTGATGCCTGTAGGTTCTCCTGTAAATTTAAGTTGTCCTGCATTGTTTGTAATCCTTTTTTCCCATGTTTTTTTCATGGTGTTTACGTTACTTTGCAACTCTGTTTAACTGCTGTGTTTCTATTTTCTCCTATAAATTTGTTTTGGTTTTGTATATCTCTGTGGTCTCTTCTTTGTGGTGGGAGACTATGCCTAGAAATGTTGGGCTTTATTGTAATTTAAAGCTGATTCATTTAATTCATAAAAGGCTTACGGATTCTGTATGCATATAGTGATTTGTTGTTTGGTCTTAGGACTTTATGTTTAGGTTAGGTGCTATGATGGTATGAAGGTTAGTATGTCTTGGCTACTTTGGAAGATTGCTCTACTGACGGGCCATATTAACAGGCGATTGGATCAGGGTATTTGGTAATAGCTAGGTATTTAGGAGCCCTGTAGACAGCTTCAAAACAATCACCTATTTGCATTTATACAATTACACGTAATGGAAGACGTAATACTTGGGATGCAAGTTAGGGGGAGGGGAAGAAAAGAGTTCTTAAAGAGAAAGAGGGAGAGAGATAGGTAGAATAGAGGAGAATGGAAAGAACAATAAAACGAAAGAAGGAAGAAAAAATCAAATAAAATAGAAAATAAAATATAAAAATTTAAAAAATGTAGTCTTAGAGATCCATTTTCTTCTCTTTCAGTTGGCAGAGATGTGCCCTCCGAGCCGAGCTTCTGCCCTCTGTGCCGACAGCAATCCCTGGGCGTCTCTCAATCCTGTTAGTCCAGAGCCTTTTCTCTTCTACGGCCCCTCCCCTTCTTCCTACTGCCTGCCAGCTCACCAGAGGCACTCTCAAGGATCTGGTTACACTTGCAGCCCCATGTGTGCCCTATTTCCCGAATGACTGAGCACTCTCTCTGTCATTCATCCAAACTCCAGGGCTGTGGAGCAGTGATCTGGGAACTGACAGTTTAATTTGTCTGGACCCCTTTGGTGGGCATGCCCCCGGGAACTCTGGCTAAGACCTTGGGTGTCGCCGCTGGTGGAAGATGAGTTGGGGATCGAGAATCCCCTCTGCTGCCCTCGGCCCCTACAGTCACGCCCACGCTGCTGGCGGTAGTGGGAGTTGGGGTTCAGGAGTCTCCTCTGCTTCCCTCGGCCCCTACAATCATGCCCACGCCGCTGGCGGTAGGGGGAGTTGCGGGTCGGGAGTCTCCTCTGCTTCCCTTGGCCCCTATAGTCACGTCCACACCACTGGCGGTAGTGGGAGTTGGGGGTTGGGAGTCTCCTATGTTTCCCTCAGCCCCTACAGTCATGCCCACAGAGCTCTGGGTTGAGATTTTTGAGGTTTCCCGCGCTATGTATCTGGTGGGTGTGGGAGTCACACACCTGCTAAAGCCGATTCCACTGGGAAGGGGTCCCATCCAGTGAACTCTCGTGATGTCACCTCTCTGCTATGGCAGGCCCCAGACTCCTTGCCGGAGTGTCCAATGGGAGGGGTGGGTCTGGCCTGTCTCTGGTCTGACCCAGTCTCGGTTGGTTTCAGTTCTGATTCTCTGTTTCATGAAGGCTTGTTTAGTGACCTCTTCATAGGGTCCCTACACCATGCCTTGCTGAACCGCTTCCCATCCAAGTACTAACCAGGCCCGACCATGCTTAGGTTCTGAGATCAGACGAGATCGGGCACGTTCAGGGTGGTATGGCCGTAGACGCTGAACCGCTTCCTACTGTGCTTGTGTCTGGACCTCCGCACCGCGTGGCAGAGATTCACTTGTCTGGGGTAAACTGTCACCTCGAATAATCCTACAAATTCCCCAGCACGTCTCACTTCAGTGGAATTTTGCTAGAAGTTTCTCAGCAGGTAGAATCTGAATGTATTAATGCGCCTCTCTGTCCCCATGATTGAGGAAGTACTGAAAGCACTGCCTCCCCGCCCGCCGCCATGTTGGGTCCCTCTCTTTTTGATCTAATCTGTGGTCTGCTGTTTTGGACAAGGTACCTTGAGCAGCTCTAAAGAAAGTACATTCAGATCTTATTACATGAAATAATCTATAGATATCTGTTAGTCCATTCAATTTACATTACTTTTTAGGCATAAAGAATCTTTACTGAGTTTATGTCTGGATGACCTATCTGTTTGTTAAAGATGTGTTGAAATTACCCAGAATTATATTAGTGAAGTTTATTTTATTTTTTAAGTCAACTAGTGTCTGTTTTATATAATTAGATCCAGCATTTATTATTATTATCAGAGAGAACATTTGGCCTTTGGTTTTTTGGGATTTGCTCACTTCGCTTAGCATGATGTTATCCACCTCCATCCATTTTTCTGCAAATGCCATAATTTTATTAGATTTTAATGCTAAGTACTATTCTATTGTGTGTATATATATATATATATATCACAGTTTATTTATCCATTCATCTACTGAAGGGCATCTAGGTTGCTACCACAATTTGGCTATTATGAATTGAGCATTGTGAAATGAACATTGATGTGGCTTTGTCCCTGTAGTATGGTGATTTTAAGTCCTTTGGGTATCAACCAAATAGTGGGAAAGCTGGATCAAACACTGGTTCCATTCCAAGGAATGGAATCTCCATACTGCTTTCCAGATTGGTTGTACCAGTTTGCAGTTCTTCTAGCAATATATGAGTGTACCTTTTCTCCCACATCCTCACCAACATGTATTATTGTCTGTGTTCTTGATAATTGCCATTCTGACTGGCATGAGATGAAATCTTAGAGTACTTTTGATTTGCATTTCTCTAATTACTAGAGATGTTGAAAATTGTTCATATATTTGTTGGTTGAATGTATATCTTCCTTCTAAGAAGTGTCTGTTCAGTTCCTTAGCTCATTTATTGATTAGGTTGTTTTTTTGGTGGTAAATTTTTTGAGTTCTGTATATATCCTGGAGATTAGTGTGCTGATGTGTGTGTAGCATATATTTGCTCCCAAAATATAGGCTCTCTGCTCACCTCATTGGTTGTTTCTTTTGCTAGAAGAAGCCTTTTAGTTTGAGTCTATCCCGTTTATTAATTATTGATTTTATTTCTTGCAAGGAGACTTGTTAAGGAAGTTGGGGCCTAATCTGACATGATGGAGATTTTGGCCCACTTTTTCCTCTATTAGGCATAGGATCTATGGACTAATTCCTAGGTTCTTGATCCACTTTGACTTGAGTTTTGTACATTGTGAGAAATATGGGATTATTTTCATTTTGCTGCATATGGATTTTCAGTTCTCCCAGCATCATTTGTTGAAGAGGCTATCTTTTCTCCACTGTATTTTTTGGTGCCTTTGTCTAGTATGAGATAACTGTAATTATATGGGTTTGTCTCTGTGTCTTCTATTCTGTACTATTGGTCTACATGTCTATTTTGGTGCCAATCCCATGCCATTTTTATTACTATAATTTGTGACATAGTGAAGGTCTGGTATTGTGATACCTTCTGCTTCACTCTTCTTGCTAAGGATTACTTTGGCTACTCTGGGTCTCTCATTTTTCAAAATGAATTTTGTGATTGCTTTTTCTGTTTCCCTAAGGAATGACATTGGGATTTTAATTGGAATCATATATATACAGCACTTTTGGTAGTGTGGCCATTTTGACAATATTAATTTTGTCTATCCAAGAGCATGGGAGATCTTTCCATCTTCTAAGGTCTTCTTCAATTTCTTTCTTTAGTGTTCCGTAGTTTTCATTGTGGAGGTCTTTTACCTGTTTTGTTGATTTCCAAGTATATTTTTTTTAGGCTATTGTGCATTGAGTAGATTTCCTTTACCTTTCAGAGGATTTATCACTGATATACAAATGCATTTGATATATGGGTATTAATTTTATATCCTGCTACTTTGCTGAATTCATTAATTCTAGATGTTTTCTGGTGGAGTTTTTTGGATCCTCTAAGTATAGAATCATGTCTTCAGCAAATAATAATAGTTTGAGATCTTCTTTTTCTATTCATTTCGTTTAATTTCTTTCATCCAGTTGCTCTGGCTAGAGTTTCAAGAACCATGTTGAATAGATGTGGTGAAAGAGGGCATCCCTGTCTTGTTCCAGTTTTTAGAGAGAATGTTTCCATTTTTTCTCCATTTAGAATGAAGTTGGCCTTGGGTTTAGTATAGATAGCTTTTACAATGTTGAGGCATGTTCCTACCGTTCCTATTTTTTTCTAGTGTTTTGAACATGGAAGGGTGCTGTATTTATTTTGTCAAATGCTTTCTCTGCATCAATTGATATAATCATATGATTCTTTAAGTTTATTGATGTGATGAATTATATTTATTGATTTCCATATGTTGAACCAACCCTGCATTCCTGGAGTGAACCCCACTTGATCATGGTGCACTGTTTTTTAATATGTTTTTATATGTGAATTACCAGAATTTTATTGAGAATTTTTGCATCAATGTTCATCAGGGATATTGGTCTGAAATTTTCTTTCATTGATGTGTGTTTGCCTGGTTTTGGTATCAGGATGATACTAGTTTTGTACAATGAGTTTGGAAGGGTTCCTTCCTTTTCTATTTCATGGAGTAATTTGGGGAGTATCAGTATTAATTCTTTGTAGATTTTATAGAACTCAATGGTGAGTCTGTCTGGTCTTGCACTTTTCTTGGTTGGTAGGCTTTTGATGGCATCTTCTATTATTTTCCTAAATAATTATCTTATTCCTTTATTTAGTTTTCTTTGTATCTACCAATAATTCATATCCAGCTCTCAACAAATGTGGACCTCCTATCAATATAAAAACGTCATTTCTCACAATGACGTGTTTTGGGAATATCTTTCCTAGATCTTTCTGTCTGCTTGCTTTAGAAGTTGCTCATCCTGGGATCCACAGTCACATCATGGAAACTTCCTTTTATTTCCCTTGGACCCCTTATGTCCCACACAACTTCCTACAAAAGAGTAAACCACTGAAAGGGCATCCTTTTTCTTGGTTTATTCCCTTATTTTGCTGGATCACATTCTCTATTAGCCTTGTAAAAAGAGACTGTGATTGGTATATTTGTATATAATTTGCATGTCTTAAATTACCTTACTCAATCTTGATAGATTTTAGCAGTGTGAAATCTTTTGGATTAGAAATTATTTAACCTAAGAATTTTGAAGACATTTCTCCATTATTTGCTAGTGTTCAGAGTTGTTAAGATGATATTCTAATTATTTAACATTTACAAGTGATCTGTTTTTCCGGTATCTCTGTAAATTTTCAGTATTGTTTGTCCTTGGAGTTCTGAAGTTTTATAATATGTCTGAAATGTTTTACATGACATGCTCCTCTCCTCCACCTTGGATACTTCTCTGATTTCATCCCCCAAGCACTCTCCCATCTTTCAGTATGCTGTGGCCATGTTAGCTTCCCTTCTTTCTTCCAGCATGTTCAAGCACAGTCTTCCCTCAGGACCCTTGTACTTCCTATTCCCCTGTATGGAGCATTGTCCCAGATATCTGTGTGATTCACCCTTTTATTTCCTCTGGATTCTGTCCAGATGTTACTTTAATAGTGAGTACTGCTCTGATCTGATATGAAAAGTTGTTTAACTGTGTAAAATAACCTACAACATCTATCCCTAGCATACTTTTTTTAAAAAATATTTTTTCAATATTTATCTTTTAGGTGTAGATGGACACAACACAATGCCTTTATATTAATGTGGTGCTGAGGATCGCACCCAGGTGCCACCCATGCTGGGCGAGCGCTCAGCCTCTGATCCACAATCCCAGTCCACCCCCCCCCCCCGCAGCATACTTTATCCTTTCTTAG